GAGCACAGCACTGTGCTCCCGGCTTCCCCTTCCCTTTTCCCTCTACAAAAGCAGCTCAAACACGCTGCAAGACCCAACCTGCCCGAGACCCTTCGCTGCCGCCCGCTCACCTGATGTCAAACCGCAGCAGCAAAGCAATGAAGATCCCTGCGGGGACAAGGGGACAGTGAGGACAGGACGCAGGCCAGTGGGAAGGCTGAGGGAGGCAGGACCGGACCGCAGTCGCTCCCGGAGCCGTGCCTGGGCTGACAGTGCCCTCTCGTGGCACGAGGCACCGGGACAGCACCGGGACCTGCCGGGACACCCCCAGTCCACGCAGCCCCCAGCCCCAGCGGGAGGCACCCGCTCAGCGCCCCGCAGCCCGGTCACGTCCTCGTCTCCTCTGTCCTTACCTGGAATGACGATGTCTCCCAGACCCAGCATAGCGAAGTTGTCCGCCTCCAGCCCCTTCTCCAGCAGGTCCTGAGGGAAAACCACTACGAGGAGCAGAGAGAGGCACAGTGAAGGGGAAGCGTTGGTGCTGAGCAGACCTCAGCACCACTGTGCCTGGGAAAAAGGGACCGGAGCAGGGTAAGACCCCTGTCCCTGCCCTCAGGCCCCCTCCTCCCCTGCAGCCCAGCCCATTCTTCTTCCTGGGAGAACTGTGGGAAACAGGATGGGGAACAAAGGGATTTGGGGCTAGCCCCATGCACAGGTTTGAGACCCAGCTCCCAGGACCCACACCCACACCAGCAGAAATTCACCCTTCTGCTATGTTTTGTTTTTAAAATGAGGTGAAACTGCCCACTCTGCCCTCCGGGGGGGCCGACCCCCCCCAGCCAGCTCAGGGCTCTGCAGGGGTCCCTCTCCAGAGACTCAGCTCCCCGCAGGTCGGTGCCACCACGCAGCAATCTAAGGGGTCACTGGCAGGAAACCTGCCAGCACACATCCCACCTTCTGAGCCATCTCCAGAAGGCGGAGGGTTCATGGGGCAGCGACTGCAGCAGAGCAGGCAGCCCCTCCTCCAGCACATGGGGGAAGATCTACTCACGTTTTATCGGGGCCTCGAATGATTTGGCAACTGTCACCATCACATTGGTGCCAAAGACCTGGGGGCAAACAGAGGAGGGGTGAGCACAGCTGCACAGAGACAGGCACACGTTCAGCTACAGCCTCACCTCAGGGCCCGGAGCAGCCTCAGTGGCAGAAAATAGCTAAAGAGCCACCAAACTGCAGGCAGAGGAGTCCTGCAGGTGAGCCCAGCACCCAGGGGAGAAGGCACAGGACAGCGCTCGAGGAAGTGAGCACGCCATGGCCGCCCTGCTTTCAGAGCAGCGCCGCGGTGCTGCCCAGCACCCACCCCTGCGGGTCGGTTCAGCTCTAATTAGTCATAGAATCACAGACTGGTTTGCGTTGGAAGGGACCTTAAAGATCACCCAGTTCCAGCCCCCTGCCATGGGCAGGGACACCATCCAGTACAGCAGGTTGCCCAAAGCCCCATCCAACCTGGCCTTGAACACTGCCAGGGATGGGGCAGCCACAGCTTCTCTGGGCAACCTGTGCCAGTGCCTCACCACCCTCAGAGGGAAGAATTTTTTCCTTAGATCTATAGTCAATTCAGTGGAAAGTCTGCCCACTGCGCAGGGTGTTATCCGAGGGCAGGAGCTCTGGTGGAGAGTCCCAGCCAGCGCCAGGCTGCTGCCTGTGAGCTTCCAACGGGGACCGGAGCAATTGTCGGATCAGCTGCGTTTTGCTCTGAAGTCATTTATTTGTACTGCACTATCAGCTTTAAATACTGGCATCGTTTGGGGGATGGACTGTAAACACACAGGTCAACCACCCTTATTTCTGCTCCATTTCACCTCCAAGCCTCCAGTCTTGGCTATACCAGTAGCAGGCACATAAACCAGGTCCTGGTTAGCACTGGGTGAGCAAGACCCTGGAGGTGGCGATTAAAGAGAAACCTTAAAGCAAACACTGGGCATCAGATTAACTCCTGTAAGGTGCAGCAAGCTCTGGGCATCACCATGGAGTAACAGGACTCCACGCTGGGACCAGGGAAAAGCATCACAGGCAAATTCACCCCACGACTACGCAGGGGGCAATCCCATCGATGCACCGAGCAGTTCTCCTTCCTCCTCGAAACCCTCCTGGGATCTCACTGTGATTAAACCCATGCTAAGATCCAAGCGACTAGTCCCTGCAGAGGGATCGATGCACCGAGCAGTTCTCCTTCCTCCTCTAAACCCTCCTGGGATCTCACTGCGATTAAACCCATGCTAAGATCCAAGTGACTAGTCCCTGCAGAGGAACATAGTAAGAGGGTCTCCACTTCAGGACGAACATTCCACGAGGCTCCAGCGATCCACTGACCTACTGGGAAAGCTGAGGCGGGAGACAGTCGGCAAGCAGAGAGCAGCGAGGGTTGCCCTCTCGCTGCCTCTGAAACACCAGGAAGACATCTGCATCCCGAGCAGGGAGCGAGGCACTGGGTGTGCTAAGCAGAAGGCTGAATCCCCTCCAGCTGAGCAGCGGAGGAAGCGGCACACAGGCTAACGAACCACAGAGCTGCGACTGTTAACGAGCCTGTGAAACAGGGGCAGCACCAGCCAAGTACGAAACAACACACAGTAGCCAGGCTCAAATAGGGAAGGATTACTCAGGCAGCTGCAGAGCTGCTGGACAGACCTCAAGGTATACACAGCTCTCAGACATTTGGAAACACAGTAATTCCGAAGGTGGAGGCAGCAGGAAGGACTGGGGAATATGGGCATTACAAGGAGAAACACTGCAGAGAGATAAAGAACACCTCAAAACGAAGATGTCAGGGCGCTGCACGGGCTGAGGGAGAGGGACTGGAGGCATTCCAGTGTTTTGTCCTCTGTGCAAGAGAACAGAAGGATGCTAACTAAGCTGGAAGATGACAGAGTCGAGGTACAGTCCCTACAAGCAGGATCAGAGTACTCCAGAGCAGCCTTGTCCTCCAGCCCACCCAGCAGCTCTGTCAGGCATTGGGAAGACCTCAGTTGGGAATGCAGGTCACCAGAACTGGATATACTGGGTACCTCAAAGCAGCCCTGATGCTGCCAGCCCTGGGCTCTCTAAGCCAGAGATTGAAAGAAAATGCATTTGCTGAGCCACGTTCTGCCACCATTTGATTCTGTCATCGTCCCCACCACACCCCTTTGGGCTGAGAAAGTGGAAATCCTGACTGCAAACGCGTGTCCAGCCAGCGTGCTGCCTCCGAAGAGGCGTAACGCCACGCACATGCCTTCCGCCAACGGCCGCAACTCGCATCCGCCCCGGCGAACGCTCCCGTTTACCCAGAAGACGTCGTAGATGAAGAGGCCCCCAAGCAAGATGCAGCCAGTGCTGACGTTGTTCAAGTGCAGCAGCTCCACCCCATTGAGGGAGAACGCCAGCCCAAAGAGATTGTTGGCAATCCAGTGCTGAGAACGACAGGAAAAGGAGGTTTGGGTCCCCCTGCACGTGCCGAGCCATGGCCTCAGCCTGCAGACTCCTTGCGTGGAAAGGGGCTGATCCAGCGCGGTCCCTGGCCTCCCCGGGCTCTCTTACCTTTCTCAGCAGGTACCAGACCCCCACGACGCTGCTCAGGGCCAGGCACACGAGATCCTTGGTGTCGAACTCGTAATTCACTATTTCTGCAACAAACCAGAGAAGGCAGGTTTTGGGCAGCTCCCCTTCCCACGCGGGGCAGACAAGTGACTTTACAGCAGGGGGGGCAACACGGACCGCAGAGCTCGTGTCCCAGACGAGGGGACTGTGCCCACAGAAACGGCCGTGCCCACGGTGAACACGTGCGAGCCCAGACCTTCCCCTCCAGCCAGACTCTGTCACACGGACAGCATCTGCGATCCTTCTGTCAATAAGGAAATTGGATTCAGGCACTAAGACAGGGAGAGGCAGATCTTCTCCCTTTTCCTGCACCAGTTAACTCCTGGTGGTATCACTACAAGTGTTCCCTTACCAGCAAAGCTACCGGGCAGGAATCCTACCAAAGCATCTTCTACCAGTGCAAAGATTTGAACTGGATCAGCTAAGGCAGCACAAGAAAAGTCAGTACTATGCTACTCAAGGAGTAATAAAATACAGGTAGTAATAAAAGCCATAGCTCTGTTCCTACAGCACGCTGGGATCTGTTTCTGGGGTTCCACTGCCAGCCAGAGGCAGCACGGAGGCAGAGCACCTGCCAGTGCAAGAAGATGCCAGTGGCAGCCCCAGCTCTGCACGGATACGCGGGGCTCACGCCGGCGACGGGAGCGCAGCAGGGGGCAAGAGGCAAGTCTTTGAGAAGGTCGTTTCAACGGGCTGCAAGTCAAAACACCAAGCGGGCACGAAACAGAACGGCAAAGGCAGAAGGCATTCAAGCCCCAGAGAGCCCAACGAGCCAACATACCCTCCTTGCTCTCCCCAGAGCCCTGGGTGAAGAGGAGCTGGTACTGTTTGTTGGGGAAATTTGCAGGGAAGAATCTGTTCATCATGGGGCTGAAACGAGAGGTGCAGAGAGGGCACATCAACAGAAACCCCGCAGGACACGCTGCCCAGCACCTCTGCACGACAGCATCGCAGCATGGGCACTGCCCCATGCCCTCTCCCGGGACATCCCAGGTTTCGCCACGTCAGGGACCAGCAGGAGCCCCAGCTTGTCACCAAGCCACGGACACGAGGCCTCGTCCTCCCCAGACATCTCATCTCCCCACATGTGACAGTCCCTCCAAATATTGCAGCTTAACAGGCACAGAGCAGCACCTGCCAGAAGTCAGGACGCTCCCCAGGCCCCAGCAGGTTCCCCGTGCCCCCCAGCAGCCTCCCGGGCACCGTATGGGTCTGGTCTCCCAGAACTGCCTGTGCCCTCCTGCAGAGCCAGGAGTGAGGGTGAAGGCCTTGCCACGGTGCCAGTCTAGGGAAAGCATCTGGTCCCCAACGTCCCAGAGCTCAGGAAACAGGAAACCAGTTTTACTTTTTCAGTTACTGGAACAGCCTGCGCTTTCAACACCTTGTGCTGAGCAGCAGCACGAGAGGCCCGGGACGTTATCACGAGCTCCAGCTGCCTGTTGCAGCCCTCCCAGTAACGGGAACACGGGTGCCACGGAGCTGTCCTCTCCAAAGAGCAGAGAGGGCTGCGAGAAGTCACAGCAGCTCCTTGGGACACAGCTGGCCACCCACACCTCCACGAGCTCTCCCAGTGACGCTGCGTGGGGTACCAGACTGCCAGGGCTCCCCGAGACTTTGGTTCTGCCATAGGCTGCTCCATGAGGAAGGGTTTACAGCACGCTCCAGGCCTGCCTCCCCGGAGAGCCCGTCACACCACCGAGGGAAAACCCCCTATGGTGGGACCCGGCTCTGCACGAGGCCACGGTGCTCCAGGAACCCCCGCTACACCCAACGCCTCGCAGCCTCGGACACCCCCGCCCCAGTCACATCCTTCCCTCCACCATACCTGATGGTGTGGGACAGGGCAAGGATCCCCAGCACGAAGAAATACATGGAGAGCAGAAGATTGATGTACTCTTGCGAGAATATCTGCAAAACAAACCCAGAGAGGGGTCGGGCACTGCAGCGCACTCCCCACCCGCAGCGTTTCACGGTGCGATCGGCAGCTGCTGTGTCAGTGCTCCAGGGAGACAGGGAGAATAGCTGGAATAACCCAAATTCTTGCACTGCTGATGTGAAACGTTGGAAATATCCGCCTGCTCGCAGAACAACCACGACGGACCTGCGAGTTGTCGCACATCTACGAGCCGCTTGGGTCAAAAAATAACTCGTGCGCCGCAGGAAGGAGGACAGAGCTTCTCCGGCACGTCCCCTGCGGAGCTGGGAGCCAGCGCTGCACCGTGCCCGGGGCTGCCCTGGCAGAGGGGAGCAGCAGCAGCACCCCCGCCCCACCGGGTCGAGCACGTCCCATCCTGATTAAATGGGGTGTTAGTAAATGGGGTGACGAAATGGGTGCTACTCCTGCTCTCCAACACACAAGCTGCCTTCTGCCAAATCACACCCCACAGCCCCGCGCGGGGAGACCTGGGGGTCCTCCGTGCTCTCCTGGAGGGGGGATGCTGGAATACGAGAACTCGTGGCAGGTTGCAGACATTAAAATGGAGAGTCACTGATCACGTAGCGACTTCAGCAGTGCCACGTTGCACACTTGGTACTTCTTTTCCTGGCACCTCTGGAGCAGCACCCCGAGATGTGGGCCACAGGGAAGGGGTGAGCCGCAGGGGCTCCATTCAGCGGCCAGAGGGGCCCGGTGGC